GAGACAGAAAGTGAGAAATCACCCCCTGGGGGGGATGGTCACACCGCAATCCCTTCTCCTCCATTCTCCTCTTGGGATCTTGGTGATGCATGCACACACGCCCGGCATGAGTTTAAGCCACCAGGTCCGGGAACTGAATCGTGGTCAACTACATGGGAGCTCATCGATGTAGCCATTATGCTATCTACTGGTCCCTAAAGAGAATTATTAAAAGTTAAAGGTAAGGGACTAGTAAGTGGCTAGAGGTTACATCGTTGGACTCCCACATAAGCCCAGTGGCTTAAAACTCACAATGGGTCATATGTGTGCATGTCCAAAATCCCAAGATGAGAATGGAGATGGAACCGCAGCTTGGCCATCCAACCTGGGGGGTGATTTCTTTCTTTCTATCTCTCTGTCTCTCTGGCAAGCAAAAACATCCTATAGCAAAAACCTCTTTAAATAAATAAATAAATAAATAAAGGGTAAAAGACATAAAGAAAATAAAGTTAAATCATCCAAATAGGGCACATGCACTTGCCAGAAAGACAGAGAGTGACAGTGAGATAGAAAGCAACCCCGAGGGTATGGCCACGCCACAATCTCTTCTCCTCCATTCTCCTCTTGGGATCTTGGGCACGCATGCACATGCGCCCGGCGTCAGTTTAAGCCACCGGGTCTGGGACTTGAAACGCGGTCAGCTACATGGGAGTCCAGTGACATAGCCATTACACCAACAGCTGGTCCCCCATACAAATATTTTAAAAGACCTAAAATGATCAGTATTGACAAGAATAAAAGAATCAGAATTTCTCGTATACTATTGCAATATTAACTGGTAATACATTATAAAGGGTGATCTGGTAATACGTATGTTTCAAACTAAAACCAGCACAAACCTTTGAACCAGTAATTCCATGTAGTATTAATATATTCTGTGAACATTCTTGCAGAAGTCTACAAATATTCACTGAGACACTATGAGTAATAATGAAAAACAGACAAAAGCTAAATGTTTAACGATAGAGGACTAAAAAATTTAAACTGGGACCAGCAGTTAGTGTAATGGTTATATCATTGAACTCCCAAATAGTCGGCCACGGTTCGAGTCCCGGACCTGGTGGCTTAACCTCACACCGGGCGCATGTACATGTGTATTCAAGATCCCCAGGGGAGAATGGAGGAGAAGGGATTACAGCGTGGCCACCCCCCTGGGGGGGTGATTTCTTACTTTCTGTCTCTCTGTCTCTCTCCGTCTTTCTGGTGAGCGCACGCACCCTATATAAAAACCTCTAAAAAAATTTTTTTTTAACTGAACTCAGTGATACAAAATACTATTTCTGTAGCTATTTAAAAGAACAAAACAGGGACCAGCAGTTAGCATAATGGCTATGTCGCTGAACTCCAATGCAGTCAACTGCTGTTCCAGTCCCGGACCCAGTGGCTTAAACTCACACGGGGCGCATGTGCATGCGTGCACAAGATCCCGAGAGGAGAATGGAGGAGAAGAGATTGCAGCGTAGCCATCCCCCCTGGGGGGTGATTTCTCACTTTCTGTCTCTCTGTCTCTCTCTGTCTTTCTGGCGAGTGCACGTGCCCTATAGCAAAAACCTCTCCAAAAAACAAAAAAAGAACACAACAGTACTATACTACGTAAACTCATGGCGAATTATGGATATCATAAAAAGATATCCACGATATTTATCTTTCTTTTTTTTAAGAGAGGATTTTGCTATAGGGTGCATGTGCTTGCCAGAAAGAGAGACAGAGACAGAGACAGAAAGCCAGAAATCACCCCCTAGGGGGGATGGCCACGCCACAGTCCTTCCTCCTCCATACTCCTCATGGGATTTTGGGCACGTGCGTGCACATGCACCAGGAAGTCACCAGATCTGGTACTTGAACAGCAGTCCACTACATGGGAGCCCAGCCCCATAACCATTATGCTACCTGCTGGTCATCACAATATATTCTTAAATGAACATAAAAGGAAACTGCAGAATATTAGTCTTTTCTAATTATTTTCCAAAAGTGTATAAGTGAATGTACATACGCATTCAGATCTATGAGTATAAGCACAAAGACTACGAAGCACAATTCAAATTCCATGCTCAGAGAAACAGAATGGGATGCGAGATGGGAAGTATAATGGATGATTATTTTGATATTTAATAGCTGATTCTAAGTTTTTACAAGGTTAGAAGAAAAACCTAATTAAAACCTATCCTTTAAAACAATAACAAATAAAACTAAAGAATAAGGGAAGGATATTTAACAAAATGAAAATGGACAAAATGTGAGGCTAACAAATACAATATTGCCATCATCATTAGAATATAACTTCAAAAGACCTGCGAGTGTAATCTACAGAAGTAGCTGATTGGTTCAAAATAAAAAGATCATAGAAATCAGAACAGTGCTTTCCTGGTAGGGTATCAGAGTATAAGAGAATTTTCTGAGGTGTTAGAAATCCTCTGTATCTTGGTGAAAGTTGATTTTGGCTAAATGGCCAAACATATTTGGCTAAACTCGGGCAACTGTTTACTTGAGATGTTTGTACATCATTGTACCTAAAGTTTAGCTTAAAAAAACTGAACAGATGAGAACCAGCAGTTAGCATAATGGCTATGTCACTGGATTCCCACGCAGTCGACTCCGGTTCACGTCCCAGACCCGGTGGCTTAGAACTCATGCCGGGCACGTGTGCGTGTGTGCCCAAGATCCCAAGAGGAGAATGGAGGAGAAGGGATTGCGGCATGACCGTCTCCCCTGGGGGGTGATTTCTCGCTTTCTGTCTCTATGTCTCTCTCTGTCTGTCTGGCGAGCGCACGCACCCTATAGCGAAAACCTCTCAAAAAAATAATAATAATAATTTATAAAACTGAACAGACGGGTTGGATGGTGATACAGTAGTAAAATGTGATGCTCTTCCAAGCTGACCCACGTGAGAAGGTCAGTGTGTGTGTGTGTGTGTGTGTGTGTGTGTGTGTGTCACACAAATATATAGAGAGACAGAGAAAAAGAATTACTATTTTAAAACATTGAATAAGAAGCCTACAAAATCAGTTTTTAAATTGCAAATATAATACATGCTTACAGCAAAAAAATAAAATGGGAAAAATATAGGTGAAAATCCCCTTTTAGGCCAGCCACAATAGTGCAGCAGTAACGTGATGCTCTATGATGCTGCAGCCATATGGAAAGGTGCCAGGTTCGCATTCTAAGATCCCCTATACTTGCCAGGCAGGAATAGATATCGATGATCCTGGCTGGCTGAGACTGGGGGACTCTGATGGGAATGTCAGCCTCCCTCCCACTCTAGTACTCTCACTCATGGGAGAAATAAATAATAAAAATTCCAGAATTAAAAATAATTTGAAGAAAAAAATATGACACTACCCCTTTCTTGCACTCCAACCTCATCAGAATTAACCATCGTTAATAGTTGGATAGGCTGCACCTTCCAGACTTTTTCCTATATGTAAATAAATACACATAAATGTGCAGTAGTATGTACTCAGTTGTCAAAAACAAAATATTATCCTAAGTACTGCCATTTGCTTTTGATACTTAATAACTGATCGGGAATATCTTCTCTTATTAATACATTTAATTCTCCCATATTAAGGGCAATTTTCTATTTCCTGGACAAACTCAAAATTATTAAACCACTGATATATATACTAAATTACTTTAAAGTTCTTTAAATTTATTTTTAGAATTATTTTATTTAACTTTATTTATTTATTTTAATTTGACCAGAGAGGGACAGAGTGAGAGTGAGACTGAGAGAGACAGACAGACAGACAGAGGAAAGCAAGTCACCAAGCCCAAGATTCAAACCATGGTCAGCCATGTGTGAATCCAGCACCCTTAACCACCATGCCACCTGCCAGCCCCACTTTAAAGTTTTAATAAAATAGACGTTTTAATATTTATTATAACCCTTGTAAGTTTAAAAAAATTATACCATAATTAGAGATTTTAAAATGCTATTTGGGATTAGAACTCCCACTATAATATAAATGCCTATTTTATAATTTTTAAGCATATCCTTTCCAAATACATAAAAGAGTAGAACAATGCTGATACGTGGCAATCTAACATAATTTCTGAATTATGAAAAATATTTAATAAACATGTAAGCTACCCAAGTAGAAAGTATGTTGTTTATATTTTTGTTGCAGCTAAAAAACAAGTTTTAACTTAGCACTGGATTCTCATAAGAAATACAAGTAAACAAATGACACTTTTTTTTTGAGAGGTTTTTGCTATAGGGCATGTGTGCTCGCCAGAAAGACACAGACAGAGATAGAAAGCGAAAAATCACCCTGCAGCGGGGATAGCCACGCTACAATCCCTTCTCTTCTCCAGATCTTGGGCACACATGCACATGCGCCCAGAGAGAGTTTCAGCCACAGGGTCCGGGACTCGAACCATGGTCAACTACATGGGAGTCCAATGACATAGCCATTACACCAACTGCTGGTCCCAAGTGAAGATTCTCAGAAAGTGAAAAAAAAAAAGGTAATCATTGTACTAACTAAACATAAAACACATTATTTTCATAGTTCTTGGGCCCACTCCTCTTTTAAGTCATAGAATTTTCCATTATAGAATAAAGAGTCTGCATTTAAAAATTTTTGAATTCTTGGGACCAGCAGTTGGCATAATGGCTATGTCACTGGACCCCCATGTAACCAACCGTGGTGCAAGTCTCAGACCCAGTGGATTAAACTCACACCGGGCACTTGTGTGTGCCCAAGATCCCTAGAGGAGAGTGGAGGAAAGAGGATTGTGGCATTGCCATCCTCCCTGGGGTTTCTTGCTTTCTGTCTGTATTTCTGGTAAGTGCACTACCCTATAGCAAAAAAACTAAAAAAAAAAAGGAAAAAAATAGAATTTTTGAATTCTTATCTAGATAAAGTTGCTAAAATGGAGAAATTTAATATCATTGCCAAGTAAGATCATTGTTACAAATTCTAATTTAGAATAAAAATAATCTGAAAACAGTTACAAACCTAGGTCCAATAACAGGAATAAGTAGGATATCCTGAAGGTCTGGATGTTGAAGAATAGGAATACTTATGCCATTAAATTGCTGTTAGAAATAAACACATATAATTATAAAGCAATTAATAGATCTGAGAAACTTCAATTTATGGTGCTTTTCAGTATCATGATCTACCAGAGTATGAAACCTGGTTTGGAGCACTTTCGCTTTATTCCATGGGATAGTGTAAAAAATCAAAAAGACCTCAAAACAATGTTTTCTGTATAATTTAATTGTTATGAATCCTTACCTCTTCTTAAGACCTAATTTTGCTTACTACTTTGTTTTATAAACACAAACCATGTGTACCTTAGTTGACTTGCTTTGTAAAGATACATCCAGTATAAAACTACACATAGTACTCACTTAAAAGCTTTTCAATAGAACATCAAAAACTGAGATTACTGAATACTATTTAATATACACCATCAACACTGGAAGCCATGTCATGCTTTTTGTTTGTTTGTTTTTGAGAGGTTTTTGCTATACAGCACATGAGCTCGTCAGAAAGACAGAGAGAGACAGAGATAGAAAGTGAGAAATTGCCCCCCAGGGGAGATGGCCATGTCTCAATCCCTCCTCCTCCATTCTCCTCTTGGGATCTTGGGCATGCATGCACATGCGCTCGGTGTGAGTTTAAGCCACTGGGTCCGGGACTCGAACCACTGTCGACTACATGGCAGTCCAGCGACATAGCCATTACGCCAACTGCTGGTCCCCCATGTCATGTTTGATAAGAGAAATAAAATACTTTCGGCACAGGTTCAGGATTCTCAGTATCCTATTGTACTTTGCAGTCAAATGGCAATAGGTACAGGACCAGCAGTGTGGGTGCTAAAGCCTGCTTACAACACTCAGTAGAGTCATCTTAAATATTTATTTCCAACTCCATGGTCACACTGGTAACTTGAAACTGATACAGTAAGAGTATTTATACCACAGAAATCAGCAGCATGTCCCTCAAGCTGCTGGGTCCAGGATTCAAACGACAGTCAGCCATATGGGAGTTCAACACCTGCTGGCTCTATTCGAAGCAACTGAGGTCAAGAAGTTTAATGATCTATCCTGTCATTAAAAGTGAATAAATTCAGAAGCAGAGGTGCTAGGCTCATGCTGCAGCAGTACTACTTATAATAACAATGACTGGTTTAGCATTCATAATTATCACTTTCCTTATCGTAGAACTGGAATAATAAGATAGCATTTTTAGGATTGTAATGGGGAGCAACATGAAATAGCTCATAAATAATGTAATTATGGACAAAATAAACTTGCCCAAACTGGCCCAGTTTGTGTGGTGTGGTGTGTATCACAATGGACTGCAGAGTTGGAAGTCGCATGATAATCATGGGTTTGGATGCCCAGGACAACCTGAAAACAGGGTACCCAAGATCCTCAAGAGCAGGAGGCAGGGGAAGGGAGGTCAAGGTAAGAAGAGGCTCTAGTGAGGATAAACTCTTTCTCACAAATGCTATCATAACAAAAAAAAATTCATTTGTACAAACCTTCTGAAGTTCATCAAGTAACAGACTTTTCACTTGTTGTACAGAGGCTAAATGTGTATTCACTCTGACAGTTGTGAATGACGGCGGGTGTGACAGGTGATTTAACAGAGTTTCATACTTCCTTTCTGCTTCTTGTTTACCCAAAACAGATAAAATCTGAAAACAATAAAGAAAAATGTTTTAACTTCATTATATGGATTAAGAACACTCAGCAGAATATGCTCACATAATTTGTTTCAACTAATGAAACATCTTTTAGCAACTATTCAGTGCCATCACAATTTGCTATACATATTGTGTTAGTAACAGTAACAGACTGATAGTATGTACATGACAAGGTTCTCTGGGTTTAATTGTGATAATCAACACCTACTGAATTGTCTGACATAGCAGGCTTAGAAAAACACTGTCTCAGGGACCAACAGATGGTATAATGACTACCACGTTAGACTCCCATGTAGCTGACTGCGGTTAGAGTCCCAGACCTGGTGGCTTAAACTCACACCGGGCGCATGTGCATGCGTACCCAAAATCCCCAGAGGAGAATGAGTTGTGGCGTGGCCATCCCCCTGGGGAGTGATTTCTCACTTTCTGTCTCTCTGTTTAGCTCTGTCCTTCAGGTTAGTGTACGCGCCTATAGCAAAAACCTCTCCAAGATAAACACACTGCCTCAACCTCAAATTAACATTTTTAAAATATTAATATCTACTACATTTAGTCACCTAAGTGAATGCAAAATTTCATTCTACTCACTTAGAATGCATTAACTGTAATGGAAGAGCTATTTACTTATTAACATACCTTAGAGCTAATTGGTTAGTAGCCTTTCTTCTTCATTTTTGGAGAGGTTTTTGCTATAGGGTGCATGTGCTTGCAAAAAAGAGACAGAGAGATAAAAGGTGAGAAATCACCCCCCCCCCCAGGAGGGATGACCACGCCTCAATCCCCTCTCCTCCATTCTCCACTCAGGGTCTTGGGCACGTGTGTGACCAAGATCCAAAGAGAATGGAGAAGGGATTGCAGCGTGGCTATTCCCTGGGGGGGTGATTTCTCACTTGCTGTCTCTCTGTCTCTCTCTGTCTTTCTGGTGAGCACACACGCCCTATAGCAAAAACCTCTCAAAAAAAAATGAATAAATAGTTGAAGAATAAGTAACATCGATACATTTACTCACTGTTATTCAAAGATCCCCCAGGACATCAACTTTTTAAAATATAACTGTAGAGACTAGCAGTTGGCATAAAGGCTATGTCATGGGACTCCCATGTAGTTGACCATGGTTGGAGTCCTGGACCTGGTGGTTTAAACTCATGCCAGGCGAATGTGCATGCCCACCCAAGATCCCAAGATGAGAATGGAGAAGGGATTGCAGCATGGTCATTCCCCCTGGGGGGTGTTTTCTCGCTTCCTGTTTGTTTCTCTCTTTCTGGCAAGCACTCATGCCCTATAGCAAAAACCTCTCAAAAAAGAAAGAGTATGTATTTGTAACAAATAGATATTGTTCAAAAAAGAAGGGTAGCAAAGATACCTGTCAGAAATGGAGTATACGCAAACCATCTTCCCTTGTAATTAACTGAAATATGTTAAAACATGTTAAGTAAATATTCCCATCTTTTCTTTTTTTGGAGAGGTTTTCACTATAGGCGCGTGTGCTCGCCAGACAGAGAGAGACATAGAGACAGAAAGCAAGAAATCACCCCCCAGGGAGGATGGTCACGCCACAATCCCTTCTCCTCCATTCTCCTCTAGGGATCTTGGGCACACACGCGCACGTGCCTGGCATGAGTTTTAAGCCACTGGGTCCGGGAAGCAAACCGCGGTCGACTACATGGGAGTCCAGCGACATAGCCATTACGCTAACTGCTGGTTCCCTTTTTGGTTATTTATTTATTTATTTATTGGAGAGATTATAGCTATGGGGCGCGTGTGCTCGCCAGACAGAGAGAGACATAGAGACAGAAAGCAAGAAATCATCCCCCAGGGGGGATGGTCACGCCGCAATCCCTTCTCCTCCATTCTCATCTTGGGATCTTGGGCGCACACACACACACGTGCCTGGCGTGAGTTTTAAGCCACCAGGTCCGGGACACAAACCGCGGTTGACTACGTGGGAGTCCAGCGACATAGCCATTACGCTAACTGCTGGTTTCCCCTTTTTGATTATTTTTGACTACCCCTTGCCTCACAGAAGCTTCACAAACCACTTATCAGTCACTAGTCTTTTTTGTTGTTGTTGTTTTTTGAGACACTTCTGCTACAGGACACTTGTGCTCACTGGAGAGGCACAGAGAAAGTGAGAAATCACCCCCTGGGGAAGAGGGTGGATGGCCAAGCCACAGTTCTTTCTCCCCAGTCTCCTCTGGGGATTTTGGGCATGCATGAACAGGCACCCCAGTCTGAGAGTTTCAAGCTGCTAGGAAGCACACCTTGGTCAGCTATGTGGGAATCCAGCACCTTGGTCGACTACGTGGGAATCCAGCGACATAGCTATTACGCTAACTGCTGGTCCCTCTAGTCTCTTTTTTTATTGCCAGAAGACAATTTTAAAAAACATGTGCTTGGGCACATAGCTTGTCCTCTCCCACCCTCCCCCCTCAATGGGACATGATCTTGCAGCACCTCTTCTCATTTCTCAACCCTGTAGGGATCTTTGGCAGGTGTGCACAAGCAAACGCAACCAGCATGTTTTTCAAGCTACTGACGAGCATTCAATCTAAAGCTGACCATGTGGTACTTGGCTCCCTTAACCACTAGGATACTGGACCACACAGTCATCCTCTGAAAGTCTTAAATATCTATCATTAAAGTTTAGTTTTATCAAAACTGGACACTCCTTTTCCTTGGTATTTTTCACAAAGAGGTGAGTTTTCTTACTCTAAATGAATACAGCTAAAAGCTATGAAGGAGAAGTAGTATCAAAGAAAGATACTGGGATCTTTTATGAAACAAATATTCATGATTTTAAACACTGCTACATTTTTTTTTCTTTTTTTGGAGACGGCGCATGTACGTGCCAGAGAGAGAGAGACAGAAAGTGAGAAATCAACCCCCAGGGGGGATGGCCACACCGCAATCCCTTCTTCTCCATTCTCTCGGGATCTTGGGCCCGCACGCACATGCCCCCGGCATGAGTTTAAGCCACAGGGTCCGGGACTTGAACCATGGTCGACTACATAGGAGTCCAGTGACATAGCCACTATGCTAACTGCTGGTCTCCAAAACTGCTACATTTCTTAATACAAACTGTTTTATCTTAAGTCACTTGAATTTTTTTCCTACAGTCTAGTCCTTTAACTTATCTTTGGAAATAAAAAACTTAAATCTGAAAGTCTTGTCTTCATTAACATATTAAAAATAAAACATTTAAATAGTTTTAATTGCACAAGAAAACCAAAGCCACAAAGTTGTCTAGAGGCAGCACAGTAAAGTGCTCATAGAGAATGAGTTCAGGTGTTGCAATCACAACCAACATTCCCTGAGACCTTCTGTGCTTGGCACCACAACAGCAAAATAAATTATTTTTTGAGGGTTCAGGTGCCAAACGACACCAGTCGTTTTGACTTATGCTTGAAACTATCCTGGGACCAGCAGATGGTTTAATGGCTACATCACTGAACTCCCATGTAGTCGACCATGGTTCAAGTCCTGGATTCAGTGGCTTAAACTCACACTGAGTGTGTGTGCATGGGTGACCAAGATCCCGAGAGGAGAATGGAGGAGAAGGGATTGCGGTGTGGCCATCCCCCCCCCGGGGGGTGATTCCTTGCTTTCTGTCTCTCTCTTTCTGGCAAGCGCACGCACCCTACACCAAAAACTTTTCCAAAACAAACAACAAAAAAACAAAACTAATCTAAAGGGGCCAGCAGATGGTGTGGTGGTTAAAGGCACTGAACTCCCACATGGTTGACAGCAGTTCAAGTCCTGGACCTGATAGATTGCTTTCTCACTTTTTCTTTTTCTCTTCCCCTGTCCCCGGTCAAATTAAAATAAAGTTAAATAAAATAATTCTAAAAAAACAACAACAACAACAACAACAACAAAAAAACTACCCTAAAATGTTTATTTATAACCATTCTAAATTTTCACAAAAGAGGAAATTAAGGTTAAAAGATGCAATTTAGTCAAAACCCTAAAGCAGTCTTGAGTTTCTAAAACTGTACTTATTTTCATAACACCTGAGCTCTTTGTCTTCCTATTTCAATAGTTACTTGACAGCTATGTCAGCTTGGGTCAAGTATATGCCACGAAGACTCAGTTTTCTCACCTATTAAAATAGGACGAAACATCTATCAAAAAAAAAAAAAAAAAACTTGGGAAACAGCAGTTAGCGTAATGGCTGTCGCTGGACTCCCACGTAGTCGACCGCGGTTCGTGTCCTGGACCTGGTGGCTTAAAACTCACACCGGGCGTGTGTGCGTGCGTGCCCAAGTTCCCGAGAGGAGAACAGAGGAGAAGGGATTGCGGCGTGACCATTCCCCCTGGGGGGTGATTTCTCGCTTTCTATCTCTATGTATCTCTCTCTGTCTGGCAAGCGCACAGGGCCTATAGCGAATAAAACCTCTCCGAAAAAAAAAAAAGACTAGTGATTAAAATGTATAACTTTGCAAATATCCTATCACAACAGGTGGCATTAAAGAGGTACTCAATAAATTACAGTATCTTTTATTTTAATTTTTATATTACATTTAATCACATATATCTTTACAATGTATTACATTTCTTTTTCCAGCATGGATTACCATGTATATCAGTCAAGACAAAGACATTATTATGCACATCATCAATATCAAGTAGCTTTTCATCATTTTTTCAGGTTTTTATTACTGCTTATTTGCATTTTTAGAATTTTTTAATTTTTTAAAAATAATTTTATTTCATTTATTATCAATATTGTTTATTTGACTAGAGCGAGAGAAGGGAAGGTAGGAAAGCAAGCCTCCAGGTTCTGGACCAGAACCATGGTTGACCATGTGGGAGTCCAGCACCCCAACTACCAGGCCACCTGCCGGCCCCATTTGCATTTTTTAAACATTCAATCACTATGTATCATTTGGCTAGTATCTTTTTCACTTTAGTGAGAACTCTTAGGAATATAGGTGCAGCTCCTATACTGGACTTAAAACTTGAAGGACAGAGATATTTTCATTTTCATCTTTGTAAACCTTTTACCTTTGTAAACCCTTCAGTGCCAAGCCTACTGACAAACACATAACAATTTTTCCTTCTTTCCCATTTTTAGGGTTACAACATACATCTTATTCACCTCTTACCTCAGTATATCTTAAAAGCTGTAGGAAGATAATGGTCTTGTTCGTGTGTGTATATATATATATAAATATACACACACACACACTCGGATAGACGAGTAGTAGACAGAAAGGCTGTAAAGATTTCCCTTCGGATTTCTATTTCCCTGGAGTGTGTAAATACTTGAATTTTTGCAAATACGATGCAACATCTTTATCTGACCTACCTCCTTGTTCATAAAGCCCTCTTTAAGATAATTTTCAACCTCAGGTCTCAGAGATATTTTGGGGAAGGTTGACATTTTTCCTGTACAGTTCTTCGCCAAGACAAACGATGGAAACAGTTTTTTCTTTCCGAATAATACCGTGCAAGCTCGACAACAAATAGCTCCCCAACAAAGTGCTGGGACCACCGCGCTGATTATGCCGAGTTAAATTCGAAAATGCAAGGAACCTTCAACGCTTTCTCGAGTTTAGAAAAAGTGACTGTCCAGCCTCCACCACAGCCGTCTTTGGTCCTCTGGGACGTTTACGGAAATCACTGCGAGGCAAGACCACTGGTGTCGCAGAGAGCCAAATTTTTTCTTTAAAGGTTTAGTGACTCAATCCGTCCTGTACTGAACAAAGATGTACACGCCAGGCTGAAAACAGCTTTACCACTTTCAAGCTCTGTCCTCAATTTCCAAATCCGCGCCCCTGGTTTCTCCAAGGGAAGGCGCTGCCGGTTTGAGTCATTTCCGGCGCCTGGGGCCCAGCCTTCCTCTTTCCGGTCCCGCAGTCTGAGCCTTCCGATCGGAGCTACGTCAGGCCTGCGGAGAGGACGGGCCCTTCCGGGGGCCCCGTGCCGCAGGAGCAGTAGTTAGGTGGGAGCGGCGGCTGGTCCGCTAGTCGAACGGGTCTAGCTCCGAGAAGATCGGTGTCCTGGGAACTGGAGAAATGCTGTCGGCTCAGTGGAAGACACTGCCTAAATAAGGAAGGGCCCTACTTAGTGCCTTGCTGGGTGACCTCTAAGTAAAAGATGAAGCCAGAGCTTACTTGGAGGCATCGGTCACCCTTTGATTTCATGAGGGATCTGACTTTAATTCCGAATTAACCGCACAATTCATATTTTAAGAATAGAGTGGATGTGGGGCTGGCTGGTGGCGTGGTAGTTAAGGGCGCTGGACTCCCACATGTCTAACAATGGTTCAAGTCCCGGACCTGGCAGCCTGCTTTCTCATTTCCCTTCTCTCTCTCTCTCCCTCTCTCACTCTGTATCTCTCTGGTCAAATTAAAATAAGATTTAAAAAAAAGATTAGAGTGGATCTGTGAATACCCATGAAAGCTCAGGTGAAACTGAAAACCTACTGATAGTATGCAGTTAGTTATAAGGCTTAATGCAACTTGTTTCATTGTTGACATTAGAGCTTGGGAGACTGATGGTATAAGAAAATTTTTTATTGAATATTTTTAATTTTTACACAATTTTTAAGTACATGGAATAGCTACTTTCTATGATAAACCAACTTATTGCCAGGTTCTGTAGAACACAGTTTAACATATGGCCATTATGCTACCAAAAAGCCTGCAAGGTGGTCATTACTACCTCTGAGAGGTAAGTAAAACCAAGACAATCAAGGCTGAAATAATTCTCGTAGTTTCACAAGTAGAAAATTAAGATATAGACCATAATAGTTTGGCTTCTAAATCCAATACCTTGTCTTTCCACCATAGTATACTTCTTTGATAAATTCACGGATTCATTAATGGCTAAATTATCTGATAGTTATAAAGGAAAAACCTAGATTGAACATTTCCAAGGAATTTTGAAGTCCCAACTTTGTAATGGCCATAGCACAAATAATTGTTGGAATCTGTATTTAAGAGATAGGGAGGGGCTAGAAGATACTGTGGTTATGTCACTGGACTCCCACATAGTGGACTGTGGTTCAAGTCCCAGACTGGGTGGCTTAAAACACACTGGGTACATGTGCGTGTGTGCATGCCCCAAATCCTGAGAGGAGAATGAAGGAAAAGGGATGGCAGCCTGGCTATTGCCCCCCAGGGGGTGATTCTTTTGCTTTTTCTCTGTCTCTCTCTGACAAATACATGAGCCCAAGAGCAAAAATCTCTAAGAAAAAAGATAAGGGAGAGGGTGGCTATCAGATGGTGTAGCAGTTATGTCACTGGACTCACACATGGCCAAATGCAGTTTGAGTCCTGGACCTGGTGGCTTGAAAATCACACAGGGCACATGTGCATATGTGCCCCATATGCCAGCAAGAGAATGGAGGAGAAGAGATTGCGGTGTGGCCATCCCCCCTGGGGGGTGATTTCTCACTTTACCTCTGTTCCTCTCTCTCTCTCTCTCTCTCTTTGGGGAGTACAAATGCCCTAAGGTTAAAAAAAAAAAAAAAAGAGATGGAGAGGAAAGAACAAGTTTGAACTACTGATAGACTATACACTCTGTGAAGGTAGAGACTTTTATCTCATCACTGTATACCCACTGCCTAATACTGTATGCACTCAGATCTTTAGACTCACTAAATAGACGGATGGCCATCTTTACGAACTGGAAAAAGAAAATGCTGATAAAGCATCTACTTACAGGAAATAAGTTCAGTAGTTCAGTACATGTAGACAGTGGTGAGGACATTAGACTATTCTTCACATTATTGAAATGAGTTATTTTGACAGAGAGGCTTCTTGTTTTCCTAAGGTTGGGTCTAATAAAAGCATATTACAAATCTGAACTTGGCATTTTGGATTTGCATTATCTATGAAAAGGACCTCTAAAGAAAAAATACCCAGGTAATAGTCATTTGAGTTATGTATTTTTAAAAATTGATTCCTTCCATAACAGAGTACAAGGATACTTCAGAAGCTGATGGAAATATGAATTAAAATGTTTATTTCAGTGTAGAAGCTTTTTTTGAAATCCATGCAGTTTTCTCATAAAATGTATTTTCCATGAACTTATGGGAGATTCTTTGTAGGTTAGATACCTTACCTAGAATCTCCCATTTTTCTTTCTTTTCTTTTTTTGTTCATAATGACCATGTACACAAGTAACAGAGAAAGCAAGAGAGAGACAAGCAGACTCAACAGTCTCCTTATTCCATGACCCCTTCACCTAGTTTTCCAGTTCCTCAGGATCTTGAACATACACAGACTGGACATGGAATGTTTTGAAGGATACCTGTGAGGACCCATCTAACTATTGCCAGATCTATCTCGAATATATCTTCCCCACCAAAGTAAAAAACAAACTACAAAGATTCCAGAAGAGAATATGGGCTTAATTTATGAATGTGGAATTTAGCAGATTCTCAGGTCATCTATATCTCTGCAGAGGTTAAAAACTTGACCTCTCATCTCAGGTTATTAAGGCAATTCAGGTTCTTTCTACATCAATTTCTTAAAATAATTATTTAATCCCCTTTGTTATTATTTTTATTTATTTTCTTTTGGAGAGGTTTTCGCTATAGGGTGCGTGCGCTTGCCAGACAAAGAGAGACATAGAGACAGAAAGTGAGAAATCACCCTCCAGGGGGGATGGTCACGTCGCAATCCCTTCTCCTCCATTCTCCTCTCAGAATCTTGGGCATGCATGCACATGCACCCGGCATGAGTTTTAAGCCACCGGGTCCAGGACGCGAACTGCAGTCGACTATGTGGGAGTCCAGCGACATAGCCATTACGCTATCACTGTATACCCACTGCCTAATACTGTATGCACTCAGATCTTTAGACTCACTAAATAGACGGATGGCCATCTTTACGAACTGGAAAAAGAAAATGCTGATAAAGCATCTACTTACAGGAAATAAGTTCAGTAGTTCAGTACATGTAGACAGTGGTGAGGACATTAGACTATTCTTCACATTATTGAAATGAGTTATTTTGACAGAGAGGCTTCTTGTTTTCCTAAGGTTGGGTCTAATAAAAGCATATTACAAATCTGAACTTGGCATTTTGGATTTGCATTATCTATGAAAAGGACCTCTAAAGAAAAAATACCCAGGTAATAGTCATTTGAGTTATGTATTTTTAAAAATTGATTCCTTCCATAACAGAGTACAAGGATACTTCAGAAGCTGATGGAAATATGAATTAAAATGTTTATTTCAGTGTAGAAGCTTTTTTTGAAATCCATGCAGTTTTCTCATAAAATGTATTTTCCATGAACTTATGGGAGATTCTTTGTAGGTTAGATACCTTACCTAGAATCTCCCATTTTTCTTTCTTTTCTTTTTTTGTTCATAATGACCATGTACACAAGTAACAGAGAAAGCAAGAGAGAGACAAGCAGACTCAACAGTCTCCTTATTCCATGACCCCTTCACCTAGTTTTCCAGTTCCTCAGGATCTTGAACATACACAGACTGGACATGGAATGTTTTGAAGGATACCTGTGAGGACCCATCTAACTATTGCCAGATCTATCTCGAATATATCTTCCCCACCAAAGTAAAAAACAAACTACAAAGATTCCAGAAGAGAATATGGGCTTAATTTATGAATGTGGAATTTAGCAGATTCTCAGGTCATCTATATCTCTGCAGAGGTTAAAAACTTGACCTCTCATCTCAGGTTATTAAGGCAATTCAGGTTCTTTCTACATCAATTTCTTAAAATAATTATTTAATCCCCTTTGTTATTATTTTTATTTATTTTCTTTTGGAGAGGTTTTCGCTATAGGGTGCGTGCGCTTGCCAGACAAAGAGAGACATAGAGACAGAAAGTGAGAAATCACCCTCCAGGGGGGATGGTCACGTCGCAATCCCTTCTCCTCCATTCTCCTCTCAGAATCTTGGGCATGCATGCACATGCACCCGGCATGAGTTTTAAGCCACCGGGTCCAGGACGCGAACTGCAGTCGACTATGTGGGAGTCCAGCGACATAGCCATTACGCTAACTGCTGGTTTCCTGTTATTATTATTTTTAAGCTGCCCAGAAAGAGAGTGAGAAAGTAAGCCTCCAGGTCTGGGACTCAAACTGCAGTCGGCCACATGGGATTTTAGCACTTTAACCACATCACTTGCCAGCCCCTCTACCTCAATTTTTTTTTAACCTGTTAAATACAGATATTTCCCACTTTGTAGTTTCACTAAAAGCTAAATGAATTAGGAAAGATATTTAAAAGATTGATGGAACCAAATCAGTCCTCAATAAGTCTACTATGATCCACCTGTTGAGGAATGGCTATAGAATAGTGGAAGGGCATTTAAGGAAGAACTAAAGTGACCCAGATTCTGAAATATCAGAAGCTAAATCTGTCTTCAGGAGGAGGGAAGATTTCAGGGGTTTAAATGAAGGGTTATGCAAAATGTGTAAGAGGTTCCACCCAAAGAAATGGGCCTATAGTTAAGGGGTACAGTTGTTCCTCAAGAGAGAACCTGATAAATTGAAGAAATTGGATCAGCTTCAAAAACCTCCAGCAAACAGTTCATTTGTAAGCCACCATGTCTGCTTACAGCAAGGAGAGCAGGAGAATCAGCACAGCCCCAAAAAACTACATGTGTTTGTGATGAATGCTTTGAGACATTTGTTAGAAGGAGCAGTTATCAAATGTAGGATGTCTAGTCACATTGTACCCTAAAGTACAGAGGTGCTATTAATCTTCACTAATTGTATATGATCGAAGTCACAGACCTAAGGATATTTTAATCTGGTGGATGTTTTGAAACTCAAAATATCATGGCTCCTCTCTGTGAACAGAAAACGTCACCAGAATTTTATCAGCATACTTACTACTGACGAGAATGTGACATTAAATTTATTTTGCATTACTTACATCATCTAAAGCATCTATTGATCTCTCAAAGAATGAGGTCACATTGATTTCTTAAGATGGCATAAGAGAATTTTTGATGGGATTATCTAAAGATTTCAACTTATCTGGAGACTGACCAAGTAGACTAATATCACAGTGGATATTATCTTAAAGGAGTATCTTACTTTCTTCAGAGATTCATTCCTAGCTGGCAGAACATACTGTCCACTGAACTCTTGGTTCAAGCCATGCATGAATTGATCTTAGTTAATGGGATAATAAACTGAATTCAATTCTTATTACAACTAGTTCTTTAAGTACTATCAAGTTAGTTTAGTATTTTTTTCCTTGAAAACATTAGCTACAGCTTTATTTTCTTAATTCCTGAGGTTTTTTACATTTTTCTTAAAATGTCAGTGTTGAATTCTCTTTCCCACTATACAAGATGGCAAGTGAAAAACTGCAAAGCAGGATATGGAGAAGAAACCTGAAGCCAAGATGGCTGATGCCAGTGGCAAGGTTAAAAAGGGTGACCCCAAGGCTAAAAAGCCCAAGAAAGGGAAGCCCCATTGCAGCCAAAACCCCGTTCTAGTCCAGGGCATCAGCAGATACTCCCTGTCTGCCATGTATTCCAGGAAGGCCATGTACAAGAGGAAATATTCGGCCACTGAATCCAGGATCGAAAAGAAAAAAAGGTTCTTTGGACTGTCACAAAACCAGTTGAGACAAGAATGGTGGTACCTGGTTGGTTAAACTGAGCAAAATGCCTACGTATTATCATACTGAAGATGTGCCTCGAAAGCTGTTGAGCCAGGCATAAAACCCTTCAGTCAGCATGTGAGAAAGCTGCGAGCCAGCATCACTCCTGGGACCATTCTGATCATCCTCACTGGACTCCACAGAGCCAAGAGTGTGGTTTTCCTGAAGCAGCTGAGCAGTGGTTTGCTACTTGTAACTGGATCGCTGGTTCTCAATCGAGTTCCACTGCATAGAACACACCAGAAATTCATCGTTGCCACCTCCACAAAAATTGATCTTAGCAAAATAAAAATCCCAAAGGACCTCACCGATGCTTACTTCAAGAAAAAGAAACTGTGGAAGCTCAGACACCAGGAAGGTGAGATCTTCGACACAGAAGAGAAATAGGAGATTACAGAGCAGCACAAGATTGATCAGAAAGCTGTGGACTCACAAATTTTACCAAAAATCAAAGCTATTCCTCAGCTCCAGGGCTACCTGCGATCTGTGTTTGCCCTTACAAATGGAATTTATCCTCACAAATTGGTGTTCTAAATTTTTTGCCAAGAACCTAATTAAATAACTGATCATCTATATTTAAAAAAAGGTCAGTGTTGTTTTGCTCTACATATGGCACCATAACACTTTTATATTTTATTGAACTACACAGAGATTCTGCTGGGATTCCATTTTAATTAAATAGTTCTAATTAACACTTAAAAATAAGTTATAATCTTGATAGGATTCATTTTACTCATGACATTTCTTCTTATTCCATAATTCAAAATATATTTATTTTCACAGAGTAAAATTCCATAAAACAGTATTATTTTCACTAGATTAAGAGTTACACTTAAATTACTTTTTAAAATGTTTAAAGGAATGTTTTGGAGAAAAAAAATTATGTTATGGTTCTAAGCACTACATTTTTTTTTTTTTTTGAGCGGGTTTTGTTATAGGGTGCGTGCACTCGCCAGAAAGACAGAGAGACAGAGAGATAGAAAGAGAGAAATCACACCCCAAGGGGGATGTCCACACCGCAATCCCTTCTTCTCCATTCTCCTCTCGGGATCTTGGGCATGCACGCACATGCCCCCGGCGTGAGTTTACGCCACCGTGTCCGGGACTCGAACTGCGGTCAACTACATGGGAGTCCAGCTACATAGCCATTACACTAACTGCTGGTCCCCTAAGTGCTACATTTAAAAAGTATATCAGAATCCCCTAGTTTGATTAAATTCTTGACAACTATTTCTACCGTGATTTAGCTTATACTAATGTACAATATGAACTGAAGTGCAATTTTCTAACAGATCAATAAGAGGCACGTAAATGTAATTGCTATTTAGATAATACACAACTAGAGTTCATTAATGAATCATTTTAGTTGTGGTTAATTTTCAAGTTAGTAAAATCTTCAAGTAAAACTTTTTAATATGAAAAAGTTGTTTAAATAGGGACATCTAGTGGCGTGGTGCTTAAGACAGCTGGATCACACACTGCTGACAGCAGTTAACCAACTCTGCCGCTTGAAAAACATACAAGTTGCATGTCTGTATGCATGCTCAAAATCTGCGGAGGAGAAATGGAGAAGAGACTGAGATGTGGCTGTTCCCCCTGAGGATGGGGAGTGATTTCTGTGTCTCTCTCACGTAAACACACATGCCCTATAGCAAAAATTTTTGTAAATGTTTAAATGTTAGAGCAATGTGACTGTCAGATAAATTATTCATAAAAATAATGTCAAAAGTAAATATTAATGGCTCTTCAACATAGAAGTTTTAGATATTTCAAAGGAACAGAAGCAATTAAAATACCAACCATTCTGCTCAAATATATTCATTTCACTCAGGTAAAAGTGGAATAATTTGAACTGTCTCTGAAAGAACATTAGGCCATTATAAAAAATATTTATGGGGGCTAGCAGATGGCATAAGGGTTATATCACGGGACTCCCACATGGTTGACTGCAGTTTGAGTACCCAACCCAGCATCTTCAAACTCATGCTGGACATGTGCATGTGTTGCTAAATTCCAAGAGGAGACTGGAGAACAGATAGCAGCATGGCCATCCCCCTGGGCAGGTGATTTCTTGCTTTCTCTGTCTCCCCATGAGTACACACTCCCTAAAGCAAAAAAACTCTCTAAAAAATAAATGAAAAAACCTTCATTAAATATGTATTTTTTCCGTAAAGGTGGTTCTAAATTTTAATACAAAAACTTTTTTTTCCCAAAAACTGTTTTTAGAAACCTGAAAGCCAGAAAAAAAGTAGAATGTAATTATACGGATGTCCAACAACTGAAGAAGCTATAAGAGAATCTAAAATTTCTTTCTTTCATTTTTTTCTTTATTTAGAGAAATTGTTGCTATAAGGCATATGTACTCACTGGAGAGAGAGACAAAGAGACAGAAAGCACATGAAACCTCCTTGAGTTTTAAGCCACTGGGTCCAGGATTCGAGTCACAGTCAACTAAGTGGGAGTCCAGTGACGTAACCATTATGCCATCTGCTGGTCTCTAAAGTTTCTTATTTTTTAATATTTCATTTTATTCATCATAGTCATCATTATCTTAATTGAACAGAGAGAGACACACAGAGAGAGGGAAATTGAGAAGGTAAGCCACTAAGGTCCACACTCAAACTGCAGTCAGCACCTTAACCACCTCACTACCTGCAGGCCCCTAAAATTTCTTTTTTAGTAAGATAGCTTGTACTACCAATGTTCCTTTAAGCCTTCATTTTCACACAAAAAATTATATTTATGGGGGCTGGCAGGTGGTGTGGTGGTTAAGGGAGCTGCACTCCCACATACCTGACGGTGGTTCAAGTCCTGAACCTGACAGCCTGCCTTCTCACTTTCTCTCTCTCTCTAGCTCTGTCCCTCTCTGGTCAAATTAAAATAAATAAATGAATAAAGTTAAATAAAATAATTCTATCATTTGGTTTTAAGGACACCCAGTTTCATTTCATTCCAGCCTGTGAAGCTTTCTCTTCCATTTAGAACACAGTGGAAAGCTACAGAAAAAGGAAGTGAAACAATTAATTGGCTCACACAGATTTCTATTTGAGATCCACAAACGGCAAATGTTTGGCATAAGTGGGAGAGGCCTTAATTACACAACTGAGCTCTGAGACTACAAGCATTTCCTGGCTCATTTCCCAACCAATTCTATTCAGAACTAAGACGACTGGCAGAATCCCAAAGCTGCCAGCCCGGGATGACCGTAACACTCTTCTAGGCTGCAGACTGAGTCAAAGACATGCAGTCTTTCCCCAGGTTTAGAGGCCAGGGACACTCTAAGCACACGGGTTAACGGCTGTTCAGTAGAAGCCGGGATTCCACGTGGCTACCCACGAAATCTTGGCCCGCAGGCCTTAAAAATCAGGCCAGGTGCGGGTATCCCAAACTCCGACAGTATGGAGAAATGGAATAGAAAGGAGCACGGCCTGACCAAGCCCAGGTGGGGGGCGGCTTTCGCTCTCGCTCTCTGCCTGGTGAGCACACGCACCTTCCAGCAGGGAAAGCCCCACCAACGCTGCGGAAGGACAGAAGAAAGCGCGTCTAGCCTGGGAAATTCCCAAGCTCCCTCACGTTCCCACCTTCTCAGCATCGGGTCGGCTTGGGCCCGCCCACCGGAAATGAAGTAAAGGAAGCGCCACGTCGAAGGCGTGGGTGACGTAAGCTCGCCGACGCCAAAGAGCTGTCCTTCCGGCGGTGGGTGGTCCTGGGATCCGGAGGGGAGGCGGAGCGGAGGCGGGGCTTGAGGCTGGTAGAGGCGCTGGTGGGTAGGTGGGTTCAGACCGATGAGACTACGGGTCGGCGTTGGGCTCAGTGGACTCGAAACAAAGGACTATCCGGTAGAGTCCCGGCGCGGCGCCCTCCTGATCCGTGGCTGAACGGCGGGTCGAGACTTCTCGACTCGTCAGCGCTCTCGCCCCGCGGTCTCGGCTTTTCTCGGTTCCCCACAGCCAGCTCCGCGGTGGGGGAACCCGGCTCGGCGGCCACTTCTGCGGCACCTGCTGCTGAGGGACCCCGCGGCTCGCCCAGGTGCTCATGATGGGGCTGATCTTCGCCAAACTATGGAGCCTCTTCTGTAACCAAGGTGAGGAGGATGGAGCTGCGCAGCGACTCGAATCGGAGGCAGCATGTCTGGCCGCCGAAGGGGACAGCTGGACACAGGGCTCTTGGTGATCGAAAGCGTTCGGAGACGCAGAGAAGTGACTTATTTAGTCAAGGGGGCGGGCAAACATTCAACGTTTTAGACTGGGAAAATGTGCGGGACAGACCTGCTGTGTAGGAGAAAGAGGGAGTCCCAAGGAAAGACATTTGGTGTCCTACAGTCCAAACAAAATTTGAATTTTAGCGGAGCAAAGCGAAGAACCCGAGTGATAACCTGGAGGCATTTTGAGGGCCTGTTCCTTGTCTAAGTATCCTTGGGTCTGCGTCAAGCTCCAGGATAAGTGCCCCAGAAACCTAAAACTTTATTTTCCCCATTGAGTTGCTTTGTTTTTCGCCCTGTCCTCTGAACCTGTGCACGCTTACGTTCTCCCTCATTTCATCTGCCTACCAGGACTCGGACTCGGGAATTAGTCGTCCTGTTCAATTATATGGGTTTCCTGGAATGCTTATCCTACCCCCCATCACCACCACCCCCTTTTTGGAGGGCGTTACAAAAGTAAACGCTTTCGGTTCTGTGTAAGATGTTACGCACCCGTCATTCGTCTAGAACAGGTTGCGAGACACCGAGAAGTCCAAAGGGCTAAGAAGTTGTAAAACCTGTTCTGAGTCAGAAAGAGATGTGATGTATTTCGAGAGAAATACCCCGACATAAAAAAGGGTTGACAGTAGGTAAACTTTCAGGCGTTCTTTGTACAGAATGGTTTCCTAGTCATTGAAATCAGTTTTTAAATTCAACTGGTTTCATTTGCATTAGTATGCGGGCATAATTTATAAACCAGTTTTGGGTATGTTTGTTTTTTTAATAATAGTACCAGTTTGTTACCGATAATGTAGATATTCTTTCCCTGGATTTAAGTAGTTGTAAGGAGGGGAGCAGCAGATGGCTTAATGGGTTTCTGGTAGTCTACTGTGGTTCCAGTCCCAGACCCGGCAACTTAAAACTCACGCTGGGCTCCTGTGTGTGCATGCCCAAGATCCAGAGAGGAGAATGAAGAAGGGATTGCCATGTGGCTATACCCCAAAGGGGAGAGGTGTGATTTTTCGCTTTGTATCTCTGTGTTTCTGGTGAAAAATAACAAAAATCTCTCTTAAAAAAAAAACAAAAAACTAAAAGCTAAAAAAAGTTGTAAAGAGAATGGAATGGTGGGACCAGTGGATGGCATAATGGTTAGGTCACCAGATCCCCCTCTTTCCCCCCATATAGTCGTCTGTTGTTGGAGTCCTGGACCTGGCAGTTAAGATCACTCCAGGTGCATACCTAAAATCCTGAGGAGACTGGAGGAGAAGGGATTGTGAGTGGCCTTCTTCCCTGGGGGTGTGACTTCTTGATTACTGTCTCTTCAGACAAGTGCACACGCCCTATAGCAAAAATTCCTCAATTAAAAATAAAAAAAGAATGGAATGGCTTTGGTTCACTTTTTCTGTAGACTAAAAACACTAAAATGGTCTTTTCAGGGTTATGAATTTTTTTAAGTAGATACACATGCACAGAGATGCGTATCACGTATATATAGTCACTCACTACAGGTAAATGCAACTTTTCAGGTGTTTTTAAAGTGGTCAGGGTTTAACTCTAGATTTTACTCATAATTTAATACATTAATTTTTAAGCAGTTTTTATTTTCTAGTCCTTGTTATATAAATTCACTGAGCAAAGCTGCATTTTAAGATATGATTAAAACGATAAAGATTAATACAATAGTCACTTCTTTATCTTTCCCTGGAGCTTAAAGAAATAAAACATTACCAAATTAGTTGTTTCTCTCTGTGCCACATCCGATTCCCATTTCTCCCTTCTCTATTTCATTATTGTTCATCTTTTTTCTTGTGCAGCTTTTTTTTTTTTAAGAATTATTTTATTTAACCGTATTTAGTTTTTATTTTGAATTTGACCAGAAAGGGACAGAGCTGGGGCGGGGGG